CTCCTCCTCTTTGTCTCAATCGTAAAGGAAGAGACGATGTACTGTGACGTCAATCTTGGCCTTTTGCCTACCACCAATTTCAGCACGTCAACAGCACGCCTTTTTGCCTCAGTCACGACTATCGTCCTCCCCTAGTTTACCTCGGGGATCGTCACCTTCTCCGTCCCGACCACCACCACCTCCTCCGCCCTTGTCACCACCCCTTCCTCCACCACCACTCCCATCCTCGATAGGGTCGCCCGCTCCCGCTCTATGGACTGCAAAAATTATTCCAATGCATCCTCTGACTACAACTGCTGGTGATCCCCCTCTCTATCATCCTCTCAATCACCCCTCAATCGCCATCTTCGTCACCCCATCATCTGCTGGCTATATCACCTCGGAGTGCTGCAATCTCATCCTGAAGGTCCACACAATGGTCACGCAGCACTCTAACATCATCGGATATATCTTCGACCCTCCCTACCAACTGGCATTCCAGATCGTCGATCTTCTCCATCATCTCTCGACACAGCACGCTGACCTCCTCCACTATAACTCCTGTCAGCTCTCGACGTAGCGCCCCGATCTCCTATACCATAAATCCAGTTAGGGGGGCATACAAATCATCGGAATAATGACCTTGACTATACGCAGAAGATCCATGAGGAAGGTCTCTGGAAGAGGTGATGCCCGATCAACTAGATCACGATCCTGCACAACCAACTTTATAAATTATTAACTTAATCAATAATTGCTAACTCACACAAAATATTAATCAATAATTCACTTACCTAGTCTCGATCATGGATCGAATCGAACATTAGGTCGTCTTGGGTATGCGGGACAGCTGATTCATGCACAAGACCCTGAGCCTCATCCTCCATCGACGGCTTAAATTAGTTATTACTTCAAGTTAACATATTGACATTTCAAATCGTTAACAATCATGTAATGAGACTTGAAACTATGTACAATATAAATCACAAATGTATAATACTCACATGAAAGTCGTCGAGGAGAGCCGATAATTGTTTTCCAGTGGGACATCCGTCCGCTCAAAATGCTCGCCAATAATTCACCCGAGGGCAACGTGTCTCCCCTCGCCTCGCAAAGCGGGTACCCAATAGGGGGACAATCTCATACACCCAACTCTGCAACACATACAGTTATTATATATAAATTCAGTATAAAAAATATTTGAACATTGATTATGTTAAAACATTTTACCTGCACCGCTAAGGGCAATCTATAGGTATCGTACTTACTCATGGTCCCCTTCAACTTCGAGTGTGATCTGGTGAAGATATTTGCAGTGTCCTCATAACATCTCCGAACCCATGGATAGTTGTTGAATCCATCGATGTCGTCGACGATATCCAGATGGAAGAGGTCGATCGCGATTTTCTTGTGGTGACACCGCGAGATACTCTCAAGGATATAGACCAGACCGAGCTTTAGTATATTTAACATCTGGTCACATCCCTTGATTGAGCCGATTAGCTGCGATAGAAGCACTGTCCCCTGCCCATGAAAGTACGTGTCATATAGTCTATTGCTTATCTGAGCTGCTTCATTGCCCGTAATCTTCAGTCCAGTGATTAGGGCAAACTGGAACATGGAAAAACTGGCGACTTGGCCCCCGAGGTCAAAGTGGAGGGCATAGTCGTCGACTGGTCTTAGCAATCGACATAGAAATGCATCAATAATTTGACCCAAGTACTGCACATCTCTCAACTAGTAAAGGGGCCACAGACTTGCACAACATATTAGTATGCTGATCATTGAGCAGCTCCATCACAATGATGAAGCTGTCAAAGCTACTGTTCCACGTAGTTTTGCCTAGCATCCGTCTCAAGTCTGCGTTGAGATGATAATCCATCCTACAAAAATTCAAAAATTTAGAATATTGTACAAGAGATAATGAAATAAAGCATTATAACTCAAAATTAAGTGAATCGAATTATAACTACAATACGCAAGACGCAGATTCATTTTGAAATAAAAATTAAAATTAACAATTATTCAAATTAAATAACGAATATGAAATTTTTACCCTAGCAGCAAAAATTAATAATTAAAATTAAAATTATTATTATAATTAAATTGAAAATGAAAATATAAAATTATTCAAATTAAATAAAGAATATGAAATTTTTACGCTACTATCAAAAATTAATAATCAAAATTAAATTAAAAAATAAATTTAAAATTAAAATTAAAAATTAAAATTATTCAAATTAAATAAAGAATATGAAATTTTTATCCTATTACCAATAATTAATAATTTAAATTTAAATTTAAATATAAAATATAAAATTATTCAAATTCAATAAAGAACATGAAATTATTACCTTATTACCAAAAATTAATAATTAAAATAAAAATAAAAATTAAATTATAAAATGATTCAAATTAAATAAAGAATAAGAAATTTTTGCCCTATAACCAAAAATTAATAATTAAAATAAAAATAAAAATTAGAATTAGAATTAGAATTAGAATTAGAATTAGAATTAAATTAAATTGAAAATTAAAATTAAAATTATTCAAATTAAATAAAGAATATGAAATTTTTATCTTATTACCAAAAATTAATAATTAAAATTAAAATATGAAATTATAAAAATTAAATAAAGAATATGAAAGTTTTACCCTATTACCAAAAATTAAAATCACATTGAAAATAATAAATTAAAATTAAAATATAAAATTATTCAAATTAACTAAAGAATATGAAAATTTTATCCTATTATAAAAATAAACAATTCAAATTAAAATTAAAATGAAAATGAAAAATTAAAATATAAAATTATTCAAATTAAATAAAGAAAATGAAATTTTTACCTTATTACCAAAAATTAAAATTAAAATATAAAATTATTAAAATTAATTAAAGAGTATGAAATTATTACCCTATTACAAAAAATTATTAATTAAAAGTAAAATTAAAATGAAAATGAAAATGTCAAATGATTAAAATTAAATAAAGAATACGAAATTTTTACCCTATCACCAAAAATTAACAATTAAAATAAAAATAAAAATTCGAATTCGATTTAAGTTAAATTGAAAATAAAAATAAAAAATAAAATGAAAATATAAAATTATTTAAATTAAATAAATAATATGAAATTTTTACCCTATAACCAAAAATTAATAATTAAAAGTAAAATTAAAATGAAAATGAAAATGAAAATGAAAATGAAAATATAAAATTATTCAAATTAAATAAAGATTATGAAATTTTCAACCCTATTATCAAAAATTAATAATCAAAATTAAAATCACAATTATTCAAATTAAATAAAGAATATGAAATTTTTGCACTATTACCAAAAATTAATAATCAAGATTACAATTAAAATTAAAATTACTCAGATTAAATGAAGAATATGAAATTTTTAATCCTATTATCAAAAAGTAATAACTAAAATTAAGATAAAAAGAAAAAATTGAAATGAAAATGAAAATATAAAATGATTCGAATTAAATAAAGAATTTGAAATTTTTGCCCTATCCCAAAAATTAATAATTAAAATAAAAATAAAAATTAGAATTAGAATTAAATTAAACCGATAATAAAAAGAAAAATTAAAATGAAAACATAAAATTATTCGAATTAAATGAAGAATATGAAATTTTTACCCTATTACCATAAATTAAAATTAAAATATTAGTTTATTCAAATTAAATAAAGAATATGAAATTTTTACCCTATTAGCAAAAATTAAAATTAAAATTAAAATTAAAATATAAATTATTCAAATTAAATAAAGAATATGAAATTTTTACCCTATTACCAAAAATTAATAATTCAAATTAAAATAAAAATTAGAATTAGAATTAAAAAATAAAAATGAAAATAAATAATTAAAATGAAAATGAAAATGAAAATAAATAAATTATTCAAATTAAGTAAATAATATGAATTTTTCCCCCTATTACCAAAATTTAGTACTTATAATTAAAATTGAAAATTATAATTAGAAATAAAAAATTAAAATGAAAAATAAAAAATGAAAATGAAAATGAAAATAAAAATAAAAAATTATTCAAATAAAATAAATAATATGAATTTTTTGCTCTATTACCTAAAATTAATAATAAAAATTAAAATTAAAGTTAATATAAAAATAAAAATTAAAAAGTATTTGAATTAAATCAAGAATATGAAATTTTTATCCTATTACCAAAAATTAATAATTGTAATTATAATAGAAATCAAAATTAAAATTAAAATTAAAATGGAAATAAAAAATTATTTAAATTTGATAAAGAAAAAATATTATTTAATTTAAAATTGGAAATATTTAATGATTTAAACTAATGTAAAAAAAATTAAAAAATGACAAAAAAAGGTGGGCTTACTTAACCTACTTAACTGTCATGGGTTGACTGTTCAGCCCACGAATGTTAACAACCAAAACCCAGCTGTTTTGCAGTCGATTTTTACCAGACTGTTAACCGCCAGTTTTGCCGACTGTTAGAGGCCGGTTGTCAACAATCGACATTTTCTTCTTGTCAGATTCCACCATTTCTGGTGAGATAAGCTCCTCCCCACCCACCAAAACACATCCAACTCTTCACCTATACTCAATATCTACCCTAAATAACACCAACAACACATTGAAAACTCTAAAATTTAACATTCACACCATAACTAATATTCCAAACCATAATCTAATTAAAACTCAATCCAAAGCTAACCTTTAGAAAAAGAAGTTCGCCGGCAACTGTGTCTCATCGGTGAGTTGTTGACTGTTGATGAGAACCGACGACTGGATCCCAACTATCAGTTTTGGTACAAGAAAACAAATGGAAAGTGCAAGAGATGGAAGGGTATTTTTGGACAATCATCTTTAAATTTAAATTTCTCTTTTTTATATTTTTTTTTATTAAAATTAGTCAAGGCCAAATTGGAAATAGACATGGGTCAACCGGCCATTTCACATGATTTCCTGTATATGTTGGTCCCCTCTTTGGTGTGTTTCATGATACACGTTATTACTCTCATTTTCTCACTGTAGTCACTCTTGACTTCAGCTACCTTCTATGTGACCCATACTTGCTGTCTTTTTTATTCGGCTTCTCTAGTTCTTTTTAGGGGGTGGAGTGGAGAGGGGTTTACATACAACCGAGGCAAAGTGGTTTAGGATTGAATCGCTGAGGCATTCTTATCATTTGATATATCCAAGTCTATAGCCTATTTCCGGTTCACTCGAAGCTTCTGTAAGGCCCTTCTTTTTGCTACTGTTGGCACCCCTTTCGTTGGTGTGTTTTAGCCCTTATTTGGCAGTGTTTTGACAGCATCTTCATAGCTCTACTCCATTCGTTGTTCTGGTCTGGTTCCCTTATGATTTGGGTTCGTTGAGCTCTTGTGAGTGAAATACCTTGGTCAATTTGAGCGGAACTACCTCGTATGCATTGAGTACTTGATCTGAGCCTTATATATTTCACTTTTTGGTTCTATATTCATCACTATTGGAAAATGGGAGTACTTTACAATCATGGCAATATATTTGAATTATTATCATCATATTGAACTAACGTAGTGTGGTTTATTGATTGAAGGTCACCATTCAATTCTACAAAGGGGTATCAGAGCCATTGAAGCTCGATTTAGGAGTTGATTTTCGAATTTTGGGTGCTGAAAATTCAGGTTGTCACTGGTTTTTCGGATTTGTGATCTAAAAATTTATATTCACGTGTATTCGGTGCAATTAAGGCATTGTTTATTGATTTTGCAAAAGGAATTAATTTTTAAAATAAAATTTGCATCTTTCATTGTTACTGACCACATATAGGTTCGCTCTAATAAATTGGTTGAAACTTTTACATTACTACAATAGTAGGTCATTGTGTAAGGTTACCAATAGGATTGTGACCTTGCTTGCTACTAAAATTTAGGATTATTTACCTAAATTGCGATATTATCATATTTGTGGATATTTAGATGTTGTTTAATATTTTGCATTGTTGTTGAGTGCTTTGTGATATTAGAATTGTTATCTTGACCTTACCCGCTCGACAATTCCTTTGAGATTGAGGTTCGAATCTCACGAAAATCCTAGGTATTTAGACCGGTGTATAACTACAACTCTTAGGACCTTATTTTTGTGATTTTTTTTTTTTATTTACCTAAATTGCGATATTATCATATTTGTGGATATTTAGATGTTGTTTAATATTTTGCATTGTTGTTGAGTGCTTTGTGATATTAGAATTGTTATCTTGACCTTACCCGCTCGACAATTCCTTTGAGATTGAGGTTCGAATCTCACGAAAATCCTAGGTATTTAGACCGGTGTATAACTACAACTCTTAGGACCTTATTTTTGTGATTTTTTTTTGTTTGGTTGCTTACATGCTACGTGTCTTATTCATTAAGATGTCTGCACATCATTTTAACTTAGGTGTTTTTAATGGAAAATGTGATTTTTCAATATGATAACAAAAGATGAAAGGAATTTTAGTACAACAAAAAATTTCAAAAGTAATTGACAATTTGTTTTCTACTACTGTAACCGAGGATCAGAAAAAGGAATTTAATGAACTTGCATAACCTCTATTATTTTCCACTTATTTGATTTCATTTTATGAAAAGTTGGTAAACATGGTTCTGCTAAAGAACTTCGAAAAACAGTTAGAAAAACTTTATTTTGACTCAGTTCACTACAAACAAACTTCTCTTGGAAGTTTCTTCAGTTCTACAATTGATCCTTCAAAAGAATTAGATGACAATCTTGATGTTTTCAATAAACCTGTGCAAGATATTAATAACTGTGATGATAATGTGTCTGATGAATATAAGGCTAATATCCTATTGAATGATATTTCCGATATTTATAAGAAAGTCAAGAATGCTATCAAATATGGGAGGGAGACACTTACACTTGATGTGGTCATTGATTCCCTTAAGAGCAAGGAGAGGAAAATGAAAGCTGAAAGAAACGCGAGAAAAATAGGAAATATTTTCCAAATGAGAGGTAGATCCTACTTTGAGAGTGGAGAGGGGCAAAACGATGGTAGCAAAAAGAAAGGTAGAAATAGGTCCAAATCACAAGGAAAGGCAAAGGAGAGAAAATATTACAGTTGTGGAAAACTAGGACATTTCATTAGTGATTG